GAAGCAATTATACCTGAAAATCCAAGACCAATGTCCTTGTTCAGTGCTTTGTGAAACCTATATTCCAATGGCATGCCATCAGCAGCTAAATGAACTACTAGTGGGCCCACTGCCCAGACACCTAATATGTCAGGCAGTGCCAGAAAGCCTGGAGGGATAGGCCAGCATTGGGAGACCAAGGACTTGGAAGGAGGAAAGATGTGTGGGTGGGGTGGGGAGGTAGAAAAATTGTGAGGAGAGAGGCAGGAGGATTTACAGATAGAGGGAGGTACACTCTGCTGCTATCCTTTGCCCTAGTCACACACCCCTCTGGAGTAGAATGGAAGTCCATTGAGGGCAAGCATAGTTGATCTTTATATATCCCTAGTACCTAGATCAAGGCCTTACATATAGTAAGCACCTGATGCATTTGGACTGGATTGAATTAAATTGAATTTAAAAAAAAGTAAGGTCTGCCATTTAGAATCCCTAAGTCCCTCAAGGCTCAGGTCAGATGCAACCTTTTACAGTAAGCCATTCCTGATCCTACGAGTAATTAGTATTTTCCCAACCCCCACCTTCAAATTATGTTGTATTTACTTTGTATGTATTATAGGGTATCCCAAAAGTCTCAGTGCAGTTTTAAATCATTAATGATGGAGCTAGGGCAAGACCACCAATGAGACTTCTCTGGATGGAAGCTTTCACAACCACAGCTGCCAAAGTTGTGTCTAGGGTATAGTGACATTGGAGGAGAAATTATTATTATTATCATTAGTAGTGTGCTGTATTTTATCAAGTCCCCCAGCAAGAAGAAAATCCCAGCTTCTGGGGAGTTCTGTCAACAATGGGAGATTGAAGGGGGTTAGCGGGATTCTACCTAACAAGGGTCTCTTGGAGTTAATCACAGAATCTCTGAGTTAGAAAAGACCTCTGTGAGCATCTGGCCCAATTCTAGCCTACAACATTCCCTGCCTCTGATCATCCAGCCTTTGCGTAAACACCTCTAGTGACAGAGAGCTCACTACCTCCCAAGTAAGTCCATTCTACTTTGGGACAGTTCTAAGTATTAGAAAGTTTTGGTTTATTTTTTTTTCCTGACATCAAGCCTAAATTTTCTTCCTTCCAATTTACACCCGCTGTTCCTAATCCTGCTTATTGGAGTCAAGTAGAACAAGACTAATTAATCCCTCTTCTACAAGACAGCCTCTCTTATACTGGAAGATAGTTCTCATGTTCCCCCTAAGACTTCTCTTCTCCAAATTAAACATGATCCAGTTAGACACAGAGCTAGAAGGGATGTTAGGGGCCATCTTGTTCAACCCCTTTATTTTATAGAAAAGGAAACTGAGGCCCAAAGAATTTAAGTGACTTGCTCAAGGTCACACAGGTAGTGAATATCTGAGGCAAGATTCAAACCCAGCTCCTGCAACTCCAAGGTCAGTCCTTATTCCACAGCATCATACTATCTCCTAATATCCCCAGTTCCTTCAACTAATTGTCATATAACTCAGACTCACGGTCCTACACCAATCCCTGATTGCTGCCCTCTGAATTTTCTATGGCTTTTGGTTCCCAAAATGCATCAGTCAGGACAGAACACAAGAATCCAGAGATGGTCTGACCACCAAAGAGAGCCACAGGAGGACCACCTCATTCTAGGAAACTTTGCCTCTCTTAATGCGGCCTAAAACCACGTTAACTTTCCCTTAGTGTGTCTCATCCCATTTTCCGAATTCTGGGTCTTCCCAGTAGCCTTGCCATTTGTGGTCCAGAAAACAGAGAGAGTTCTGGACACAGTATCTCCCCTAGGGCTCAATGGGACTGATTCTTGGAAAGAGACCTCAGATGTACTGCCTTGTTGGCCCATTCAGGGGGAAGGACCAGCCAGGGCCTGAGCCCTGGACTTGGCCTCAGACCAATAATTACTGGGGATGGTTTATCTCTGTGGCCAACCTACTACGTGAACCAGAGGTTACAGAAAAGTCAACAGGGTCAGCAAAGGAGTTTCACCATTAAAGAGAGCCACCACCAGGATAGCTATTGTAGCTGATGGAACGGAGGTTATATGGAAGAAAAGACTTTCAAATGAAGGACTCAGCATTGCTACCTGGCAGAAGTGTTCACCGGGGGGATCAGCAACATAGATTGTTCCAGAGCTGGTGGAAGAGGCCTCCATCCATTCAGGCGACTTGGCGATGATTGCCTGCCTGGACAGCCCTTGGTTTTCTCTTGTTGACATAGCCCAAAATGTGTAAAATAAATGTCAAACTAAGAAGGAAAAAACAACTCTTCTCACTCCCACTCCATCCCCAGCTGTCTGGAATTCTTGGGAAGTCAGGGAAAGAGACAGAGAGATAACTGACCAAATAGACAAGATGACAGCTAACTGATAGACAAGCAGGCAGATGGATAAATAGTAACTAACATTTATATAGCACCTACTATATTCCAGACAGGGTGTGAAGCACTTTACAAATAGTATTTCATTTGATCTTCATAAAAACCCCGCAAGGTAGGTCCTATATTATCCCCATTTTACAGATGAGCTAACTGAACCAATGGTCATATAGCTAGGAAGTATTTGAGACCACATTCCAGTCCCATTGCTCTGTCCACTGTACTTCCTAGTAGCCTCAGTGAGGAGGTGGATGGAGAGAGAGAGAGAGAGAGAGAGAGAGAGAGAGAGAGAGAGACAGACAGAGAGAGAGAGACAGAGACAGAGACAGAGAGAAAGGAAGAAAAGGACGGAGAGGATGGGAGGGGAGGAGGAATGAAAAGGGAAAGAAGGGAGAAGACAGACAAATAGATACATAGATAGATGATAAATAATACAGATGATGGATGATGCATGTTTCAGACAAGCAGACAGTTAAATGTATCAATACACCAGACCTAGAGGCAGGGAGAGAAGGAATGAAGGAAGGATAAAGATAGATAGACAGACAGACAGAGGAATGCAAGGTCAATATAAGTTAACAGAGTAATAGGGCAGCTGAAAAAGCTATCAATCTTAGACTGCATTGAGAGTTACAGTGTTCAGGGCTATGGAGGTGATAGACCTGCTATATACTCTGTCCAAATGAAGAGCTCACATTAAAAGCTAAATGAATAAAACAAACCTCTCCCTAAAACAACTCCCACCAGTTTCACCATTGCTTTCACTCTCAGCTGGGCAGGGAGGCATCCTGGTACCATGAAAAGAACCCTGGGTGGAGAGTTCCAGGTTTAAATTCTGATCATGGTGGGCAGCTAGGTGATGCAGTGGATACAGCACTGGCCCTGGAGTCAGGAGGACCTGAGTTCAAATGTGGCCTCAGACACTTAACACTTACTAGCTATGTGACCTTGGACAAGTCACTTAGCCCCGATTGCCTCACCAAAAAGAAAAATAAATAAAATAAATTCTGGCCATGACATTGACAAAGTTATCTTGAGCAACTGACTTCTTTCTGAGCCTCAATTTCTTCATCTGTAAACTGAGGGACAGACTAAATGTCCTCTGAGGTCCCTTTAGCTCTAACTTGGCAATCCCATCATCTTTCAGGTGTCTGCCAGCTATAAAATCCTATGGCATTTCACTTAATGGAGGACATTGCAAAATCGAAGAAGAGGCTGAAGACAGGAGGAGAAGTCCAAAAGGGCCTCTTTTCACCCTGGGAGTGTTTGACTGTTAAGATTCACGAGCCTCACCTGGTGGCATCCCTCCCAGGCTTTTGTTTCTTTCACAGGGGACCCAGAGTGTGATCCTTGTGTTTCTCCTTCACACCTAATTGGGCTTCGTTGTAAAGAGATCAGAGGCTGCCAGTTGGCATCAGAGTCACCTTCCTCATCAGAGAGAGGTTCTGAAAGAGCAAGATTGTAAAGACAGAAGGAGCCAGGAGAGACTAGGAAGACAGCAAGAGATGCAGGGAAAGGCAGGGGGCATTAATAGACTTTAGTATAAAATCCTGACAGATTCAAATTGATTCTGCAGCCTGAGAAAATTGAGTGCGGAGGGAATTAGATTTATGCACTGTTAAATGTAACTGCCTGGCAGTATCTATCCCAAAAGCTGTTAAAATGGTAATCTTTAGAGATGTATGAAAATTGTGTGTGAATAGACCGATGAACCGTCTCTGGGAGCATGCTTCTCCTATCAGAGAAATACAAAACGGCATTATTATTATTAATACTGGGTTACAAACAGTATGCATCATGGATGTAACTTAATCACCTCATCTCAAGGTATAAACAAGAGCAAAGCTGATGATGGTAACTTTTCTCTTTGTGTGGTTAGACAGGAACTTTAGGTGGGGGAAGAAGGGAGATTGGTTTTAGGTCTGACTACAAAAGAAAATGAGTTCATAATGTTTTGGGGAAGTCTTTTAGAATACATTCAGAGAAACAGTCAGAGCTGGTAGACCTGGGAAGGTGATAGTTTCATTGTCTTCAGCCTTGGGCTACATCTGGAGGAGTGTGGTCAACTCTGAGCATCAAAGTTGAAGAAGATTAAGATGAGCTGGAGGAAACCCAGAGGAAGACAGAAGGTCTCAAGAACATATTATATAACACATTGATGGAACCACAGACGTTTAGCCTACAGAAGATTGGAGGAGAAGAGGGGGAGATATTCAAGTATTTGAAGGAGACTCAAAGATGGGCAGCTACGTGGCTCAGTGGATAGAGCACCGGACCTAGACTCAAGATTTGTCATCCCAAGTTCAAATTCAGCCTCAGATACTTACTAGCTGTGTGACTCTGTGCAAGGCACTTAACCCTGTTTGCCTCAGTTTCCTCATCTGTAAAATGAACTGAAGAAGGAAATGACAAACCACTCCATTATCTTTGTCAAGAAAACCCCAAACAGTGTCAGGAAGTGGCAGACATAACTGAACAACAGCAACAAAGATGGGTTAGGATGGGACAATGAGTGAGAACAGAGCTGCTTAATTTTTGTTTTACTTCCATTTTCTCTGCCCAGTAGAATGACCTTTACACAGGAAACATTAGAACAAAAATGACTAAGACAGAGTCAATACCCAAGATCAGTAAGGTTGTAGAAAAGAGGGCTCCTGGCTGCCTCGGGTGAATGCAAGTCACCTGGCTCTGATGAACTCTATCCTCAGGTGCTGAAAGGCCAGGCAGACATGACGGCTGGGTCATCATCAGAGACATCTGGAAGATCCTGGAGAACAAGAGAAATACCAAAAGGTTAGAAAAGAGCAAGTGTTGTCCTGGTTTTTGTCTTAAAGGAAAGAAAGAGAAAACTCAAAAGATGAGCCGGTGAGCGCAGTGTCATTTCCTGGGGAAATTTTACCCTGGATCATTAAAGAGACAGTTGAGGATGTCTAAAAAGAGAACTGGTGACTACAAAGAGCCAGCCTGGCAGCTTCATCAGGAGCAGATTTGCCAGGCTAAGCTCATTTCCTGTATCACAGAACTGCTAAACTAGTAGATGAAGGGAATGCTGGGTGGACAGCATTTAAGGAGGTTTTAGTAAACATCCCATCCATTGTCCCACACTATTTTTGTGGAGAAGACAGAGAGAGATGGATTGAGATGATAATACAATTAGATGAATTCAAAACCGATTGGATGGCAGATTGAAAGGGTAGTTGTTATTGGGTCAATGTTAATTTGGTAGGAGGTCTCTAGTGGAGTACCCCAGGGATCTGCTATCGACTCTGTAATGACCCTTTGGCAGCAAGCCTTCTGGGAGAGAAGAGAGGCCCATAAAGATTTTTTTTTCTTTTTTTTCAGTTTCTGCATTTTGTCAAAAGCAAGGAGCTTTCTACCCAGGCCAATGGAAGATGCCCGAGTTGTCTGATTTCCCCACAGGAATGGGACTGCTGGTGAGCCTTCTTTGGATCAAAGCCACAAAACAGTAACATCTAAAAGGGAAAAAAATAGGTTATGAAGTCTCTCTTCGAGAGGAGTGTACCACCTTCAGGGGAGCTTGTCAGATATGGAGGATTGAAGGGAGATAGTGGAATTCATTTGGAGAAAGGGTCTCTGGGAGCCAATTATAGAATACAGAGTTGAAAGGCATCTCAGTGACCACCAAGTCCAAATAGCACATTAGCATGAATCCCCAGTGTGATGTCTCCAACAGAGGGTCAACCAGTCTTTTGCTTAAAGATCACTAGTGAGGAAATCTGAAGAAATCTTCTGACGAAATCCATTCCACTTAGGGATAGCTCACAATCTTCGCAAGAGAACCCTCCAGGCCAAGTTCATCTCTAACAAAGAGTCCCAAGGAAAGAGAAATGGGCTGTTTTAAGCAAGACAAGAGGGGAAGCCAATTTTATCATCTACCCTCTATCGTCTAATGCCACTCTTCTTTGCATTTTCTAGTCCTAGCCCTTTAGGCTGTTCTCAACTCTTTCCTGGATGTCAGGCAAATTTGAGGTGTCCTCAATTTGAGGCAGAAATTCCCAGGTGTCCTCAGCTTGAGGCAGAAACTATGACCCCTCCCTTCCACTTCTGCTCCCTTTGAAAAATGGGTACAGCTGAGGGGCATTTAGCCATGCAGATCACTTCTCTCTTGACCAGAGCTGAGCATAGAGGTGATTAATCTGCCCAGAAGCTCTGGGGGACAGAGAGGTTTTAATCTCTAGCTGGATTTTTTTTTGGTCTTTTTATTCTAAGAGAACCATCCTATCTTGCTAAGGGACTGAGTCACTGTCTGGATGCCAAGAAGTGCCCCCAAATCCCAAAGTTAAATTTACATATCAATTGCATTCTGGGAGAGATGAGAGCTTAACTAGGGGAGCTGGCTGTGAGAGAGCTGACCTGTCACTTTGGCTATCACCATCCCACCAGAAAATGGGGTATGGCCTTGAGGAACATACACATGACCTTAGATCAACAACAGTCACAAAAGTTGACACTATCTTAGGCTACAGTAAGAGAGACAGAGTGTCCAGAGAACAGCACCCATTCAGGGAGTGGGGCATAATGGAAAGAACACTGGATTGTGGGGTCCTAGGACCCCAGTTCTGCGTCAGGGTATCTGAGTTTGTATCCCAATTCTATCTTTTTACCATCTGTGGTCATGATAGCACATGGGAAGAGGACAGACTTCAGAGTTAGAGGACTCTCTGTGGGACTTTGGGCAAATCACTTAATCTCTCTCTGCCTCAGTTTCCTCAACTCTACAATGGGGATAATAGTAGCACCTACCTCTCGGGGTTCTTGTGAGGATCAAATGAGATTATATTTGTTAAGCACCTTTCAAACCTTAAAGTGCTATAAATATGTAGTGCTGTAATTAAATTAGTAATTAATAATAACATTAATAACCAGTAATTCATCATATTAATAATATAATTATAATATGTTATAATATTATTGGTTAAAATATTGTATTATAATAATAACTAATGAATGAATTAATTAATTAATAATGCTATAAACCTTAGGGTACATAAATGCTGACTGTTAATATTTAATAGCATGGGCCCCTTTGGTGGATTCTTTCTTAAATAATGTTTTTAAATGCACAAAATAGATACATAGGATCATTTTTAAAAAACTAATTGTATTAAATTCAGTTATCGAAATTTTTTTTTAAAGTTTATGGACCTCCAGTTAAGAATCCTTGGACTCCATGATCTTTGAAGTCCCCCCCATCAGCTAACAGAGCCCTGGGCCTGGAGTCTGGAAGACATTAGTTCAAATCTGGCCTCAGATATTTGTTAGCTGTGTGACCCCAGGCAAGTCACTTAACCCTGTTTGCCAGTTTTCTCAGCTGTAAAGTGGGGATATATGAGTACCTAACAACAAGAGGGTTGTTATGAGCATCAAATAACATAGTATTTGTAGAGTGCTTACCACAATGCCCAGCAAACAGTAGACAATAAATGCTTGTTCCCTTGTTCCCCCACCTGGCTCTAGAACTAGGCTCCTATGGCAAGTCACTTCATTCTTCTAGGCCTCAGTCGTCCCATCTGTAAAATGAAGGGAGTTCCTAATATCCTTTCCAGCTCTCAATTTAAGTTCTAAGTATGATGCTATGAAGTGTGGGGTAGGGGTGGATCGAGGGCGTGACAGCCCAATGATGATCCTTCTGGCCTCTGGCATGGCTGAAACATGGCTGGAATAGCGTGTTCATGTTCCAACAGTAGTTGCCAAGAAACAGTAGCAAAGAATGGAAAATGTCATCACAGACTAGATGTCAGACTCATAGAACATCAGAGCTAGTAGGAGCTTTAGGGATTGGCTATTCCGGTTGCTCTTCTCCCTTCCCTGGCCCCCCTTCACAGGACACTGAAGTCCAGAGGAAGAAAAAATTATTCCAAGGAGCTGTGTGCACGTCCTGCACTCATAGATCTGGGGTTGGGAGGTACCTTGGGGCCATTTAGGTCAATTTCCTCATTTGAGATGAGAAAACTGAGACCCAGGGAGGTTATGACTTGCCCAATATCAACAGACAGTCAATAAACCTACTATGTGCCAGCTACTATTCTAAGTACTAGGAATGCCACTAAAGACAGTCATCCTCAAGGCACTTAAAACCTAAAGGAACAGTATTGGAGCCCTAATCCTCCCACTCCACAGCCAATCCTTTTCCGCCTACTACTCTCGGATCACAGAGTGAGTTAATGAGAAGAGCGGGCTTTGAAACAAGGTCTCTTAATTCCCAACAACTTGTTTTCCCCCCTTCCTTAAGGATACTTTGCCTTATTCCCTAGTGTTGTTGCTGGTGGTGGTTTGCTTGGGGTTTTTTGGGGGGTGAGACACAAATCTTATTTCCACAACCAGACCGAATTCTGCTCAGAAGGTCTAGATATGCTCCTGCCTCTTTGTGTAAATAGCACAGGGCTGGGCGCAGAGCAAGGCTCAGGAAAGCACAGTTGGCCAATAATCATGCAGTTTGCAGGAGGAGGAAGGACCAGAGGAGAGCTTTGGTTCTCTGGGGTCCCTACAATCCCACTGTAGGTTGGGGTCACAAAGGGAAAGAAAGAAAGAAGGGCTTCCCCACCCCACCCCTGTTACCATCTCCTCTCTTTCAGCAGCTCCCAGCCTTGAGGCAGATTCACCTAGAGCTGAGTTCCCTAGGGTGCCCATCTGAACTACTTCAATGAATTAGTGCCATAGGAAAGCAGAAGATCGTTGTTCTCCCTTCCATCCAGGAGAGATGGATGGATTTCTTGCCATGCTCTGTCTTGCTCAATTTATTTTAAGGATTTGCAATTTTGTTCTTGTGAGTACTTCCTTCATCAATGTCAATCATGGACCTTCCTATGACTTAGCAGATAGTATTTGAGAGTTTCTACTCAAAAAAGTCATCACCCTATGGCCAACTCAGTGAGGGACTTCTCCAAACTTAATTAGGCTGGTCAGAGAGTCTCAGAGCAAGAAGGGACCTTAGAGGACATCAATTCCAGCCAGGACCTGAACAAGAATCCCTCCTCTACCATGTCCAACAAGTACCCATCTACCCCACCCTCCTCTAACCAGGGGCAGTAAGGTACCCTTTTGGTATATGTAATCTCTAGGCTTGAGCCCACTTTCCCTTGGAGTCTGTATGTACTTGAGGGGGAATGTGTCACAGACTTAATGGGTGAGATTTTTTGTACTAATGGTTAGTTTATTAACTTAGTAAACATCCTTTTTTAAAAGCTGTTTAAGGTTGGTGAATTTAATGATTCTCAACAGATAATCTTTGGGGTGGGGGAGCACACACTAATGGGGATTTTGAACCAGTAGCATTAGAGAATCATACTGAACTCCTCAGTGATACTCTAGAGACCTGAGGAGGAGAGGTAGTCATCCATGACATGGCATCAAACAGCAATGGGAATGGGAGTTGGGATGAGGATGCCCACAGCCTCCTCTTAAATATCTTCATTCAGAAGAGGTCTCTTCACTACTTCCTAAGGCAGTCCATTTAGGTTTTGGACAAGTCTAATTGTTAGAAGGGAAACTAAGGTGGTGCAGTCAATAGAGCAATGAGCTTGGAATCAGGAAGACTCTTCCTCATGAGTTCAAGTTTGGCCTCAGACACTTACTAGCTGTGAAACACTGGGCAAGGCACTTAACCCTGTTTCCCTCAGTTTCCTTATCTGAAAAGGGAGCTGAAGAAGGAAATGGCAAACTACTCTGGTATTTTCACTAAAAGAACCCCAAATAGGGTTAGAAAGAGTCAGACATGACAAAAAAAAAGGTTAGAAAATTTGGTGGTAGAGGGCTTTGAGTCCGTATGTTTGAAGAAACTGGACATATATTTAGCCTGAAAAGAGAGGCCCCTCGAGAATAGATTGTAGGAAACCCAATAGATGTTTTTCAGTCTTTGAAAGACTGTGATATGGAAAAAGGACTAGACTTGTTCCATTTGATTCCAGGAGACTTCCAGGAGATTCCAGGAATGATAGCTAGAAGCTGTGAAATGATAAATTAAGGCTTGATGTAGGGAAAATGTTCTTAACAACAGGAACTGTCCTAGGTAGAATGGACTGCTTGGAGGGTGGCAGGTTTCCTCTGCTTGGAATCTTCAGTAGAGGCTGGGCAACCACTTGTCGGGCATGGGCCAGTGGCAATCTCTTTCTTACATGGGTTGGACCAGAGTCTGCAGCCTACCAACTCTCAAATCCTGTGATTCTGTGATGCCTAGAATTAAAGTTAAGTCTCCCTCCCTGCAACTTCCACCCAGTAGGTCTCATTTCAAAGGATCACACACAGACTTAGACCTGGAAGGATCCTTAAACGTTATCTAAGTATCACCAGCCAGAGATGTGCAGGAACCATTTCTAATGGCTCCGGAGGGCTGATTGTCAAATCTTTAGTGGGAGCATCTATACCTTAGAAATCTGAGATTGATTTATTGTCTTGTTGATTGTCTAGACTTAGGAAAGTGATAGAGAAAATGTTAGTAATGACTCAACTAAAAATGGCATCTGACATCTGTCTTGCATGTACTTTTTTTTGAAAGCTAATTTCTTGCCTCAGTTTCCTTAACTATAAAAAGAGGAATAATGGCACTTACCTCAAAGATTTCTTGTGAGTATCAAATGAGATGTTTGTAAAACACTTAACCCAGTGTCTGGCACATAGTAGGCCCTTTATAAATGCATTTTCCCCTTCTCTTCCCATTTACTATCACACTCCTGTCTAGCCCCCCCCATGCCAGACCTTCAAATTCTGAGAGGCAACATGTGGACAGCAGAAAGGGTGCTAGGTTGGGCATCAGAATACCTGAGTTCAAATCTTGACTCTGTCATTTACAACCTTGGGCAAGTCTCATTATCTCTCAGCCTCAGTTTCTTCATCCGTAAAATAATAATAGGGTTGGACTCAGTGACCTCCAAGGTCCCTTCTAGCTCTAAATCTTGGCTCTTATAGACTCTACTAGGTCTTCTCTTCTCCCAGCTAATGATTTCCCAGTTCCTTCATCTGATTAGCTAATGGTAGGAATTCAGATACCTTCACCATCTTGGTTCTGTCCTCTGGAAAATCCCTGATAAAATCAATATTCTCCTTGTACAACAGACACATAGCCTATCCAGCTCTGAAGGACCTATGAGAGTTTGTGATCTGCCAGCATGGCTTTTTAGAACCCTGGGTCAGCTCCAGATCCTGAGGAGACTTCAGAGGAGTCCTGCTAAACACGAGGAGCTATATTAAACATAAGTCCCAAAAAGCCACTTTCCCCACAGAGTCACAAATGCCAGATTGATGGCAACAAGTCAACAAGCATTTATTAAACACCTATTGTGTGCAAGGCACCATGCTTAACTCTGGAGACACAAAAAAAGAAGTAAAAACAGCTCCTGCCCTCAAGGAGCTTGTAATCTAATGGGGAAGATAACATGCAAATAATTATGTACATACAGGATTTATACAGGCTAAATTGGAGGTAAAGGTTCTTTATTTTTTTTTAATTTTTCTTTTTTTTCTTTTTTTGTTTTTTTATATGAATTTATTTATTTTTAGTTTTCAACATTCACTCCCACAAGTTTTTGAGTTCCAAATTTTCACCCCATTTCACCCCTCCCCCAACCCCAAGATGACATGCATTCTGAATATCCCTTCCCCTAGTCTGTTCTCTCTTCTATCTCCCCCCACTTCTCTTATACCCTTCCCCTTCTATTTTCCTGTAGGGCAGGATAGACTTCTGTACCCCATTTCCTGTATTTCTTATTTCCCAGTAGCAGGTGAAAACATTTCTTTAAACATATGTTTTTAAAACTTTAGGTTTCAAATTTTCTCTTTTCCTCCCTCCCCACCCACCCTCATTGAAAAGGCAAGCAACTCAATATAGGTTATACATGTGCAGTTCTGCAAAACACATCCATAGTAGATATATTGTGAAAAACTAACTCTATTTCCTTTAATCCTATCCTGCTCTCCCATTTATTCTATTCTTTCTTTTGACCCTGTCCCTCCTCAGAAGTATTTACTTCTGATTACCCCTTTCCCAATCTGCCTCCTCTCTATCATCCCCTGCTCTCTTGTCCTTCTCCCCTATTTTCCTGTAGGGTAAGACAGATTTCCATACCCAATTGAATGTATGTTATTCCCTCCTTAAGCCAAATCCTATGAGAATAAGATTCACTCATTTCCTCTCACCTTCCCCCGTTTCCCCTCCACTGTAAGAGACTTTTTTCTGTTTTTTTTGTGAGATAATTTACCCCATTCTACCTCTCCCTTTCTTCTTCTCTGAGTATAATCTCTCATCCCTTAATTTTATTCTCCAGATATGACCCCTTAATCTTCAACTCACCCTGTGCCCTCTATCTATCTATCTATCTATCTATCTATCTATCTATCTATCTATCTATACATACATACATATAATTTTTTTCCTCCAACTACCCTAATACTGACAAAGGTCTCATGAGTTATAAATATCATCTTTCCATGCAGGAATGTAAACAGTTCAATCTTAATAAGTCTCTTATGATTTCTCTTTCCTGTTTACCTCTTCATGTTCCACTTGAGTCCTGTATTTGAAAGTCAAATTTTCTATTCAGCTCTGGTCTTTTCATCAAGAATGCTTGAAAGTCCTCTATTTCACTGAATGACCATTTTTTCCCCTGAAGGATTATACTCAGTTTTGCTGGGTAGGTGATTCTTGGTTGTAATCC